AGCAGGGCTCACCGGCATCGGCTAGCGGGCGAGGCAGGGAAACATCTCATAACCACAGTGACTGGGGTCATCGACCGAGGCGTGGCGGCAGCGGCACACGTCCAAAGACTCGATGTGGTAGGTAGGATGAATGGTGGGGCGAGTGCCACAATGGCAAGGCGGTGATAGCCGCAGCTCCACCATGGCCCCGTGCAAGGCTCGGTGGCTGGCGTTGGCACATGCACACCGCGGCCGGGTGACCAGACCACTACTAGCCGGGTTGGGCCACGCAAGACCTCAGCATAGCGCGGCACGGGCCTAGCGCACGCACGGGCCGGCGACCGCGTCTTGGTCGCAACATGACCTCGGTGCCACCACGTTGTGCCCGCGGTGACCGCGAACCCAGTCCAAATGGCTACTCTAGGTGACGTGCACACATTTCAAAGCGTAGCAAAAGTCACTAACGATCACAGTTGAGGTTCAACTAACTCCCCTATCATACAGTCCATATTGCCAACGACCTAGCAACACTATCGCCATGACCAGAGGACCACCAAGGAAGGAGGTAGATGGATGCCAATGTGAGCTCGTCACTCTGACATCAGTTCACGAACAGAGCGCCAACGACACGACTTTGACACGTTTTAACACGACCTTGACACGTTTTAACAAGGTTCGGGCAATTTTTGCGAGGGTATCATGACACCCAACACCACTACCACCTAAGCCATGCTCAAGGACTCTCTTAGAGGCAACCAACAGTACGAGAACATGTAGTTAATGTTTAAACATTTTTATTAGAAATTAAATGTCGAGATAGCATTGTCTTACTACTTTTTCCATACTTAGAAAAGTTAAGGTTCAGTTCGAACTAACAGGCATTAACACTTTTGTTATAATTTTTAAAATGCCTAAACCCTATTAACTCCAACCCACAAGCATTTCTTGCAATGGTCCATACTCCAAACTAACCCATAGGAACAAAATATTTAAGCATTAATTAATTATTTCGCCCACAATAAATCGCCAAAAATAGTACTTTAAACATAAGTTCAAGTGTTTGTCGTCTTAACAAAAAGAGCTTATCTTAACTTTAAATTTGATTTTTGAGCTTCCAAGAGCACTAGTTAACAATATTTATTTTGATTTTTCTCAACCACAAAAGTGAGTCACATAGAATTTGTTTATTATTTTAGGTAAGTTTTAAACTCTTAAACCCAGCGAACTTGTTTTGCTAATCTCTTTTAGGTATTAACCTTGGTGCTAAGCAAGCTCTTAACACTAGGGGTGTTACATTATGTCTGCTGCTAATACCAAAGACGGTGGTCTGTTCTTTGTGGATGGACCTAGGGCATCAGGAGGACTTATCTGTACAAGTCCCTGCTCGATACTATACGCAACCAGAACAAGATTGTTGTGGCAACAACTACGCCTGGTGTTGCAGCTTCAATAATGTCTGGTGGCAGAATCGCCCACTCAAGATTCAAGATTCCCCTCACCATCAACAATGGAGCCTTTTGCAACTTCACAAAATAGAATGGTACTGTCAGCTGCTTCGAATTGTGTCTCTCATTATTTGAGACAATGCTACCATGACAAAGAGGCAGGGTGTCGAGGCGCTAGATAATAGCCTCCATGATATAATGCACCGACTTAAGCTGCCGTTTGGGGGCAAAACTGTCGTGTTCGGTGGAGATTTCAGACAAGTTTTTTCCGTTGTTTGAAGAGGGTCGAGGTCTCAGATAGTCGATGCCTCGCAGCAGATGTCGTACATTTGGGATTCCATGCGACATCTAAAACTGGTGCGCAACAAGAGGGTAAAAAGCGACCCGTGGTTTGCAGAATACCCGCTACGCATTGGTGGAGGCTCTGAGGAGGCCAATGATGATGATGAAGTTCACCTTCATCCTGATATATGTGCACCGTACACCGAGAGAGATAGCGATCTTGATACATTGATTGATTGCATATTCCCCAGTGAAAGGTCCTAATATGGCAAGAGGGGGGTGAATAGCCTATTTAAAAATCTACAAACCAACTTTGATAACCGCATTTCGATACGAGTTTCACCCCTCTTAATAGTACGGCTATCGATCCTAAATGTGATCACACTCACTAAGTGTCTCGATCACTAAAATAAAATTGCTCCTACAATTTATACATTTACCTTGAGCCTTTTGTTTTTCTCTTTCTTCTTTTCAAGTCCAAGCACTTATCATCACCATGGAATCACCATCATCATGTCATGATCTTCTTTTGCTTCACCACTTGGAATGTGCTACCTATCTCATGAACACTTTGATAAACTAGGTTAGCACTTAGGGTTTCATCAATTCACCAAAACCAAACTAGAGCTTTCACCCAGGCTCAATGCAAATATGCCAAACAAAGAATACATTACCTCTCGGGCGATATTGTCTACACGGAACGAATAGGTCGATATGATTAACATGAAGATGATAGGTCGTTTTCAAGGGGGTCAGATGGTGTACCATAGCTTTGACTGTGAGATGGACGATCCGCACAACTACTATCCTGAGGAATTTCTTAACACTTTGACATCAAATGGTCTACCGCCACATGTACTAAAGCTAAAGATTGGTTGCCCGGTCATATTGCTTAGGAACATTGACTCTGCGAACGGACTTTGCAATGGTACCAGGCTTATCATACGAGGATTCCAAAAGAATACCATAGACGCAGAAATTGTGTTGGGGTGCATGCTAGAAAGCGAGTTTTTCTGCCTCGCATACCCTTATGCCCGTCTGACGATGAAATGTTCTCTTTCCGATTTAATCAAAAGCAGTTTCCCATTCGGCTCAGCTTCGCCACGATCGTTAACAAGGCACAAGGGCATACTATGCCTAATGTCATGGTGTACTTGCTAGAACCAGTGTTCTCGTATGGTCAGTTATATGTGGCGCTATCAAGAGCCACGGCAAGATCGAACATTAGGATCTTGGTTGTGCCGGCTATTGAGAAGGATGTCAACAAGGGGAAGAGGAAGAAGAAACTGACATTCACGAAGCATATCGTCTATAAAGAGGTTCTAACTCCGTAAAAGAGGTAATTTCTCTTGGCAATACATATTTTTCTCCATATATGGTCAACAAAATTGTAGCTTCAAATATTAACAAAGAGTTTATATGCAGGATCCTACCAACACATCAAAGAGAATTGCAAGGACTACTTTACCGCTGGTGCTTGCCGAGTCGATACCCTTAGGATGCTATTAAGAAGGTGTGGCATATAGGTGTGTCGGAGGATACAATTAAAACATAATTGCCCCTGTTAGTTATAGCTATTCACAAAATTAAGTTTGTAGCATTGATGTTCTGTACATGACGTTAGAAAATTGCTTTTTTTAACACGTTTATACTATTTTTTTTAAAAAAGAATACAACACATGCTCATACTTAAAGTACCATATCATTGTTATGTTTTCGTGCAACGCACGGGTATTTATCTAATAAGAGAAAATTTAAACAACGTTGATAGTTGAGGAAGCTAAATGGATTTTTTCCTAATGCACATATATATGGGTCTGTCCGCTCATCCGTGTAACTTTAGTGGGCTAAATAATTTGGACAGTCTAGCCACTGTTGGGCTTGGGCCGACCTTTTCAACCGTTCCGTTGAAAGTTTCGACAGGACGTTTCTCCTGTTATAGCATGTTCCATCAAGGTTTTCCAGCAAACAAACTGGATATTTCTTCAGAAGAAAAAGCAAACAGAGTGGAAGTATGGCCAAATGGGAGTTTCAGCGTTACAAATTCCATGACTCAAAATTCTTCGTGAGGGGATCTGTTTGGGTCATGTCTACTGTAAAGCCTTTTATTTTCGAGCTTTCTTAGTTGCACAAGTGCATTACGGATTTGGCACAATTTCGTGGCCCAAGCATTCATCAATCTATGGCCCCGAACCAAACATGCACTCGATGCTTCACGACGAGTCCTGCGTAGGTGTTTTAGCGTTAAACTTACATCTTGTCAGGGCTGCTTATTGTTGCTGTCACCCCACCTTCAGAGCACATCCATTCATCAGTCATCAGTTGTGGTTTTGCCCAACGAGCGCTCCATTATCTTCGCAGTCTTGCAGGCAGCACGACCTAAAAAACGACATGCGCCCAACCATCGCTGGGTGTGCGCTGGTCTTTCAGTAACAGGACTCTATTCACGTCAACTGACGCGAGTTTTTTCGGCTTTCGGAAACGCAAGCTACTCTACGGGTCTGTTGCTGCTGCTGCCGTCTCTGAACGGTGTCTTCCACGGTGTGAACTGGCGCTTCCAAACTGGTAGTATCCCTGTATCCGTTTTCACTTTTCAGAGACTTGCTAAACGCACAGACCGCAAGCCTGACGAAAAACACGACTTCTCTGGCGTCAAGAAGAACCGGAAGGTTCCTGGTTTCAGAATCAGAAGATGTCTCCTCTAATTTCTGTCCTGAAGTAGCTTGGTCTGAAACGGTAGGAGGCGGCGGTGGAACGCCATTGACCCGAGCCGTGCCTCCTTCTGAAAAGCGAAAATTCTTCGGTGAAGACGAAGTTTCTCTGAATCGGTTGGTGCAGCATGGAAATTTTCTTCACAAGTCCAGCATGGTTTTATGTGCAGCTACCGACTAGTATCTTCACCTTCAGATACACGTACAAGTGTGGTTTTCCAGAAGGACATATAAACTGCAACTGCAACTGCAATTGTATTGTATTGTATTGTATGGACACAAAAGAGGTAGCACGAAGAAAGCCGGCGTCGAACGCGGCTCGTCCTGCGTCTGCAATCTGCATCGCAGGAGGCCGGGTGTATATAATAACAAAGCATATGACCGTTTCGTATTTACGGTAGTATGTTCACTTTGCGGCAGTGACAGTAGTTACACGGGTAACAACGCATCTTAGTGTACACATGCCGAACGAAGACGAACTCAACCAAAATTTTCTCCTAAAAGGAAAATTAATCTTCCTACGTACGTGTATGGTGATGTGGCGGATGCTAATGGTGGTGATGATGATGGGAAGAACAGGGTGTCACACGCTACACTGCTTCAGCCCTTTGGGTGTTTGATGGCCTCCTTTTAACCTCACCTGCACATAGAAAGTTAACTAGTTCAGAAAACAAAAGGCTCTGAACTTTTCTCATCAGCAAAAAATAACAAATTCTATATTTGTTCCTTTTATCTGGATGCCAATTAGACTCAGTTAATAATAATTATATAGTTTATATACTATCTAGTCTGGCAGGATGCAACTAGCCTGTCTTAACCTTTGTGCCTAAAGTAAACTATATGGAACGCGTTAATGACTATGCACCGAAAGCAGAGTCGACTGGGTGTCGATGCACCCAACAAAATGCCTGGATTATTCGTGAGAATGATGGCACCCACTATGATCAAGGTCATGCGCTGCGAGCCTGCACTGCAACTAGGCAACTAGGAGTATTGCGAAGTACGCGCGAAGAAAGTTTTTTTTTTTTCTGGATCAACTAAACGCGAGGCCTGGGTGTCGATGCACCCAAAAAAATGCCTGGTTATCGTGAGAATGATGGCACCCACTATGAGTATCATGCGCTGCGTTGCGCAGACGTGCAACTAGGAGTATTGCGAAGTACGCGCGAAGAAAGCTCAAGTAAAAAAAAAAAAGGGTTATTCGCATCAGCACATTGCGTTGCGCAGACGTAACGCGGATGGAGCAAGAGCACACGGAAGGTAACGCGGATGGAGAGAATTGGTTGCGTTGCGATGGTACTCACGGCGCCTTCGACGTCGATCCTGTACACGAGCATTCGCCGGCGCTCGCGGCAGCTGGTCCGGTACGCCGCGGCGAGGTGCGCGGCGGCGAGCGCCAGGGAGAGCAGGAGCATGGCCTCCGGGCCGGCGGCGCGAGCGTCACCACCCGCACCCGCCTGCGGCGCGGCGCGGCGCGGCAGCACGGCGGCGGCCTTGGCGAGCACGTAGGACACGGACCCGGCCACGCACGCCACCACCACCCCTAGGTACGCGCCGCCTCCGCCGCACACCACGTACGCGCCTGCCATAGTGCCATGCCACGACACGACACGAGAAGCGGTCAGTTCAGCTGAGCTCGTGGAGGAATTCGAATTTCGAAAGGCGATCTGGACTTCTGGAGTGGACGGATAGATACTAACAGAGGATGAGCAGCGCGCGCGCCGCGGAGACGGCGGGCAGGTCGACGAGCGAGGAGCGGAAGTCGAACGCCCGCGCCTGGGCCACGACCGCCGGCGCGAACGACCCGTCGCCGGCGCCGCCGCCTCCGCCGGCGCGGAGGGTCGCGGACAGGAGCGCCGGCGGGAGCGCGAGGTCGAGGAGCACGACGAGCAGCGGCGGCGCGCAGACGAGCAGGAGCGACGCCAGCATGGCCGCGAGGAAGAAGGCGGTCTTGGCCCACCGCCACGGCCGCGCCCACATCCGCTCCGCCCCGCCGCCGCCTCCGTGCGCGTGCTTGTGCGCCACCGCCAGCGGCAGCAGCAGCTTCTTCTCCATGGCCGGGCGGCCAGCGCTGATGATCGGTAATCGGTAACCGAACCAAGTGGGCGATTTGTGATCAGGCGGTGGGGCTGCGCGCCGGAGCCTTTTAAGACAAGGGAAGCGGATGCGGATGCGGACGGGGTTCGGGCAGCTAGCAGCTCATCTGTGTTTTGCTTCGCCGCGTTGAGGCCGACGGACGGTTGAGGGGGACGTGGGGCGGGCGGGCCGGGGGGTGCGGCGTCGCGACTCGCGCGAGTTTGGTTTGACCTGTCCCGCGCGCGCGCGGAGCTGCAGCAACTGCCTGCCTCTGCCTGCCTTAAAAGGCCGCGCCACGTACGCGCCCAAGCTTCGGTTTGGCTCGTTTACGGCGGCGGGATCGGAGCTCGAGGGTGCAAAGCCCGGGGATTGGGATTTGGGAAGCAGAGAAGAGAGAGCACACGATTCTGACGAGGCTTTCGTGTCGCGGCAAAGAGTGGTCATGGGTAGGTCTTCGACTCGTAATCATAGCCAACTATTTTTTTAAAAAAGGAGAACTCCTATCTTATCCGAATATTTAAATTTAATATATATATCCGCAACTGAATCTGAGGTTTACTGTATTTATCCATATTAGTATTGCGTAGGTAAAACCGTATTTAATCCGTATATCTAGCCAATAGCAGGCCAAATTAGTGGTCATGCTGCAAGTAGGGATGAAAATGAACGGAAAAAATCCTATCTCATTGTCCTGCTCGTTTTCGTATTTACATAAAAATACGAGAAGCACAAGATGGGTATTTCTGCATGTCTTTTTGTGGGATGTTATCACTACGGGAGATGCGCTCTTTGCCGAGTGCTCGGAGCTTTGCCGAGTGTCGAAACACGGGCACTCGGCAAAGCCGGCCCTCGGCAAAGGCCGTCTTTGCCGAGTGTTAAACACTCGGCAAAGAGGGACACTCGGCAAACGTCCTATTTGCCGAGTGTAAGATACTCGGCAAAGAATAACCATCGACAAAATACCTCAGCCGACGCCGATGGCCCCTCCGTCATCCTTTGTCGAGTGCTGACCGTTAGCACTCGGCAAACGTGCTGTCTTTGTCGAGTGCTGCAAGCTTGGCACTCGGCAAAGAGGTTCCTTTGCCGAGTGCCAATTCCGACACTCGGCAAAGTATTTTTATTTTATTTTATTTTTGTTTTTAAATTTTTTCTGTGGCATTTATACAGTACCTCGAAGCACATGTTACAATTTGGAACTTTTCTATGACTTTTTGGTATATTTTTTTAATTTTTTATGTTTACTTGATTTTTTCTCGAAAAAGTAAATTTGAACTGCAGGTGCATGAAATATTAGAATTTAGCGATTCAAAAAATGGTATTCATGTTTTTGAGTGTATTTTGAGGCCGTATGCAGGGACATTCGTGAAATTTCGAACATCTGTTTCACGAAACATGACCATCAACTTGTTAAAAAAGTGTTTTGATCACATGTGGAGATGTCTAGGTTTTAGGCATCGTACGTCACAACTTGCTCGGAAACTTCTAAAATTTTTACCATAGCCTCTACATGCGATGACACGACACCTCTACAAGTTTCGTGATTTTCGGACTTCGTTTGCATTTTATATAATAAAAAAATACTTTTTTAACAAGTTGGTGGTCATGTTTCGTGAAACAGATATTCGAAATTTCACGAATGTCCCTGCACACAGCCTCAAAATACACTCAAAAACATGAATACCATTTTTTGAATCGCTAAATTATAATATTTCATGCACCTGCAGTTCAAATTTACTTTTTCGAGAAAAATTCAAGTAAACATAAAATATTAAAAAAATATACCAAAAAGTTATAGAAAAGTTCCAATGGAACATGTGCTTCAAGGTACTGTATAAATGCCACAGAAAAAATTTGAAAACAAAAATAAAAAAAAAATAAAAATACTTTGTCGAGTGTCGGAATTGGCACTCGGCAAAGGAACCTCTTTGCTGAGTGCCAGGCTTGCAGCACTCGGCAAAGACTATTCAGATTTTTTTTTATTATTTCGGATTAAAAGAATCCTGAATTTCTTTGTCGAGTGCCCACATCTCGGCACTCGGCAAAGAGCCGCCCCACTTAACCCTAGCGGGCCGGCCGGCCCGCTCCCACTCTCTCACTCCCTCTCACTACCGCGCGCGCCCGGCCCCGCACCGCCGCCGCGCTGTAACACCCCGGGTGTTATAAATACTAAAACTGCCATGTCATCATATGCATTGCAAATCATTTGGTCATATTAAGAACTTTGATATGCATTCACTAAAACATCTTGTTGATTGCTCGTTTTGACCACCGTAGTCGTCGGAACTCTGTCACCGACGATGTTTTGCTCCGCCGTGTTTGCTCAGCTCGTCGAACCACCTTGCTGTTGCTCCTTCGGCTCAGCCTTTGACTCCAACGCGTTCGGGGTGAGCTTCTGGTGCTTCTTGTGCCGTTTATTTAATCGCTACCGGTCTCCTGTCGCCCGCATAGCACAGCCACGCCGTCGTGGCCGCCATGGCCGGTGTCATGCTCGGTCCTGGCCGTGGTTGGTCTCGTTTGTGCCACCAATCGACGCGTAGGGATGTAAGGGTCATTTTGGTACCTTGGCCGTCGCCGTTGAACTCGCCGTCGGCAAGTTTTCGCCGGTCAGCGCGCGTGTCGCCGTGGTCAAAGCGCGAGGTAAGGGATGACAAGTGGGACCTGGGTGTCAGTGACTCAGCGTTCAAAATAAATTTTCTGTTTTTCAGATTTGAATGAATAGTGATAGTTTTTGTTATTTTTGTGTAGATTTATTTAGAGTTCCAAAAATTATGAACTTTTTTGTGTGACCTCTCTATGATGTATATTATTTAAGAAAAATATGAAATGTTGTTTTTCAATACTTTTTGAATGTGATAAAAATTGCTCAATTAATTAATAAATGAGTTTCCATGTTTTTTCTAGGCTTATTTATGTATCCAAAAATTATGAAAATTGTTTTGCCACTTAGTTATCATGTGATGAACATTTACAAAAATTTTGAGCTCAATTGGAACAAGTTTATTTATTTCATAATTCTTAATTAAATAATTAATTCATAAAAGCAAATAGTAACCTTTAATGATTTAGGTTTTGATTGAATTTTTGATTGAGTGATGTCCTTGGGTCATTAGTTGGTAATGATCCTTGGCAATTGAATTAGGTGTTACGAAAAAGGTTTCGTTGGTTTAACTTGTAACTGTAGCGCGAAGGAAAGTTGTATTCAAAATTATTAGTTTTGCATCCATCATCGAGCATCATATTTTGTATCTCGTATCATGTTAAAAATGGCATTGTTACTATGTGTAGTGAACGAATGTGAGCACGTGGTAGTTAATCAAGTAGTTGAGGAGGTTGATCCGTCTGTGGAGGTTGGTGTTGATATCGGTGGAACGACTCCGGACCCAGATTTTTCCGTCAACGAAAGCAAGCCCCGGATGCATTTCACCCTACCTTGTGTTTTACCAATTGATTTCGCTTTTGCTTTTCTGTACTGCATTAAGTGATTAGGAGTTAAGTGAAAACCTAATTGGTGCATTACCAACCTTGTTCCTCCATATCTACCATGTTATTAGTTTTAATTCGTATATGCCTAGTTTTGCTTAGCTATGTTTAGAATGATGAAAGTTGGGTGATTATCTGTCATCTACAAGTGTTAAATGGAACTTTGGTTACTTATGTTATCATGTGATATGAGCATGTGAAGTAATAAATCTAGACCGGGCGGACTCGGTGTGTGTGAGCCACAAGGCATGGAGGTCTTGTGAGCGGGTTCTTTCCGCCTGTGTCGGTTAAGGCCCGTACTGTTGTTGAACTGTGTGCGGTGAGACTTTGTAGTACTAACCACATACTCCGGTAAGCCTTAACTTGGTTATTCTATTACGAGAATGGCTACTCGCGCATTGTGAGTGGAGAGATGGCGAAAATAGCGTGTACCCACGTGGCAATGGGCTGGATTGGTGGAGTACTATATTCTCGGGTGGCGCGGACCCGTTCTTGTTTAGAGGATCCGATGGTAGGTTGGTATATGTAGGTCGGAGACCTGCATATGTTGTGTGGTATGGAATTCCCAGCTGGGTTATAATCGGTTCGAATCGTCATTGCTCCTCGGTTATGGAGACTCAGTTCTTTGTTCATCATCGTAGATAAATAACTATAACTTGAGGATGGTTTGTGAAGGTCATGGTTATAAAGTTTCATGATCTCAATACGGATCGTGTCAGCTTTGTCTATGATCTTATGAAGTTTTAAATGTTGATATAAGAATTTTGTTAAAAAGCTTTTACGCAAAAGAACTTTGATTATTGCTAAAGCCATACCTTGAATCCCCTGAGTCTGCATTCTTGCGTTCTATTAATCCTTATTTTGGTTAAGTCTTGTTGAGTACTTTTGTACTCAGGGTTCGTTGACCCTTGTTGCAGGTGAGGCTCATGAGCAGATCAGTTTTGGATCGTGCTGCATGACTGTTGTTCCATGTGATGATGATAAGTAAATGCGTGGCCCTTGGGCAGGGCAATTTATTTGTGTGTTCTGTAATATGTTATAATGCAACTCCACTATTACGTTTTGTAATAATTATCGAACTTAGTTGTAAGATTTGAAACTACTATTTTGTAAACTATGTTATTGTAAGACTTTCGCTGATTTACTCTGATGTAGATATTTGAATAAATGTTGTAATACTGCAATGACTCTGTAATGTGATCCTGCTCGGAAATCGTGGATGATTCGGGGTTCTCCTAGGACACCCGACAGTCTTCTTAAGTTATCGAAAACATATGCATAGATGTCAAAGGTTGTTGGACAATGACAGGTGCATGTGGGCCCTATAATTTAGGAGGTTCTACCACAGAATGGTATCAGAGCGATCGTTACAAAGTTTTTGTTGTATTGGTTTACAAAAACTTCAAAATGATTTGGGATGACTAAACTTAACTTGTTAATTTGGTCCAAATTGCTTCTGACTTATCTTATTTCTTTCTCACCATTCCTTATTTGATTAG